AGTCAGACCCACAGTCAGAGGGGCAGGGTTTGCTCCTTCCTGACCACAACCACATCTGCACACTCCCTGATGCTCCCCAGACACACACAGGGCCCTTTCATGCTGGAAAAGCCCCAGAGCTGCTGCTCTGCATTGACGTGCCCATGCAGGGAATTTCAGCTCCTGGTTCCCACCACAAAGCAGGCGTGGCTGGGAGATGGGTGGGGGAGATGGGCACTGGTTCCCCCATGGCACCACTGGGGTGCAGGGGGGAGGCTCAGACCCACGGAGCTGCCCCTGCCCTGCCTTGCAGAACCTTTGCAGCACCTTGGTGAACGTCCTGCTGAGCCCACCGTGCCTCCTGCAGCCCCCCAGAGCCACAGAGGGGCAGCAGAAAGCACCAGGACCAGCACTGCTCCTATTTGGCGGTTTCCCACTCAATTCCCAGCCTTGCTCTGCTGGTGAAATCCAGTGAGGGACCAAGGTGGCAGATTTCACCTGGTTCACCCCCAGAACCACCACATCAGGGGATCTCAGGTCATTGAGACCTGAAGCCCCTCATGGTGCTGGAGTTCCTGCGCTGGGAAGGAGCAAACAAAGAAAAATCCTTTTTTGGAGGCAGGTGAAGGAAAAAAAAACAAAACGTTTTTTGGTGCAGGATCCATGCTGAGATGCTCAGGCCAGAACCAGGTGTGTGCCCAGTGCCTGGGGAGCTCTGGGATGCAGCACCTCCACCTTGGATAGGTGTATCTCCAGCCAGCGTGCCTGTGGGGATGGGATGGGGATGGGAAAAGGATGGGGATGGGGATGGGATGGGATGGGATGGGAATGGGATGAGAATGGGGATGGGGATGGGGATGGGATTGGGGATGGGATGAGATTGAGGTGGGGATTGGGGATTGGGGATTGGGATGGGATGGGATGGGATGGGAATGGGATGAGAATGGGGATGGGGATTGGGATGGAGATGGGATGAGATGAGATTGAGATGGGGATGGGATGGCATGGGATGAGATTGAGATGGGGATGGGAAAAAGATGGAGATGGGGATAGGATGGGGATGGGATAGGGATTGGAATGGGATGAGATTGAGATGGGAATGGGGATGGGATGGGAATGGGGATGGGGATTAGGATGGGGATGGAGATGGGATGGGGATGAGATAGGATGGGGATGGGGATGGGATTGGGGATGGGTTAGGGATTGGAATGGGATGAGATTGAGATGGGAATGGGGATGGGATGGGGATGAGACACTGGCTGGAGATACAACCTGTCCAGGATGGAGGTGCTGCATCCCAGAGCTCCCCAGGCACTGGGCACACACGTGATTCCAGCCTGAGCATCTCAGCATGGAAGCTCCAAAAAAGGGTTTTTCTTTGTTTTCTCCCTCCCAGCACAGGAACCCCAGCTCGCAGCTTTCCTGCTCATTTCGTTTTCAATGAGTGAATTAGCAGGCAGCCAGCTGACTTGAACATCCCCTTATCTCTGCACCAAGCTCGCTGCCGAGGATTTGCATAATTTTAATCTTTCCCACCAATGAGCATGAAAAAATGAGTTTTCCAGTATTTTATCTCCTATTTGTGTTCAATAAACAGAGCTGGCAGCTCTGCTCGGGGGGTTCACACTGGGAACAGCGAGGAAGAGGAGGGGGAAGTTCCCATCTCCAGCACTCAGCCATGTCAAGGGTTAAACCAGAGAGGGAAGGCTCTGCAAAACTGCTCCACAAGCTGCAGCTGGAGGTGGATTTGAAGCCCAAATTTCCTCATTCAATCCCAGCTGTTTTCTCCAGAGTCCCTCTCCTATCCCCCAGCTCCAGCTGTCCCTCCCATCACCAGGACTTTTGGTTTCCCTCCCAAGAAAAGAGTTTGCTGGACTCACCCCAAGCGCAAAGCTGCAGATCCCAAGAACATCAGGGCTCCAGGGATGGGGCGGGAAGAGCTTGGAACAATGAGGTCCCACCTGGAGGAGCCTCCTTGTGCAATCACAGGAGCCATGCAAATGTGGGGACACGCACAAAGCTGCCAACGCAGGGCTCCAGGGGTTTTGTTTTTAATTAAATGCTTTAAAAGAAAAGCACACCCCAAATATTTCAGCTTGTCTGTATTGAAATAAGGCACTGAAAAGAGAATGGTGCTGCTTCACCCTTTAAAACATTATTTTGGGCAGCACACAGAGGCAAGACATGCATTAGGATTACAGCTGGAAATCAAGGCAAGGAAATGGAAATGCAGAGAAAGCTGAGGCTCTCCCTGCTGGTTCCCCACTCACAAGCAGAGTGCAAGGTACAAATGTGGAAACACTTTTTAAATGTCTTTCCTCCCTGTGGAGCCAAGTGCAGGTCAGGGCACACCCCAGCCAAAGGCAGGGGCACATCCCCACCACCTCCAGAAAACCTGTGCTGGCTATTGCACCCAGGTGCTGCAAAATGTGGAATATGTAAAATTCTCTTAAGTAAGAATGTTCTTTGATGTTTGGCCTTTGTATGCTTTCAAGCCTAATCAGCAAAAAAAGGGAGATTTAATCCATGAAACAGAGTAACAAACAAGCTCTAAGTGATATCCAGGTGTTAGAAAAACAAATTACTTGCTGGTAGAATTGCCTTGTTAAAGTTTAGGGCTGGACATGCTCCTCATGATCTCAGAGCTAGAGGGAGGTTAACAAAGCTTGGAAAGGAGGATGTACCACTGATAATGGATGCAAAGAATGCAGAATTTACAGGCCACAAGGACATCTGGCAGCACGCCAAAGATAATGAAGAAACTAATAAAGCCAAGTCAGCAATTTCAGTACTGAAATCAGTTCCAAGTGGGTAAAGGGGAATTCTGGCAGGGGCAAACCACAACCACGATTTTTGTGGGTGACTCAGGGAGGGCCCAAGGGCTGGTTTGCCCCAGAAAGCAGGGATTAATGGCAGTGGGGTGACACCCAGGGCTGGTCCCCTCCTTCCTGGGGCTGTGGAGCACCATGGAGAGGATGGAACATGGGGTGCAATGCTAATTCCAGCAGCTCCAAGGAGCCCATTCCTGCCTCTCCTCTCACTGATCCTGCCCCCACACAGCCTCTGCCACCACCCATCTGCACCCAGAGGTGCAATTACCTCGCTAGCTGTGCTTAGGAACCATATAATCCTCCAAACCAAGAACATAATTAAAGAGTCCGAGTGCTTTGGGATGGAGACCTCGCTCCTGCCACCACTTTGATCTTCTCTAAAAATTCCCCAGCCCAGCAGCCCCGTGCCAGGGCCAGCTCAGAGCCCTGGGTGTCCCACCAGGGCAATGCCCCCAAATGCCCCTAAATGCCCCCAAATGCCCCCATTTGGCCCAGGAAGGGTTTTCCCCCCTGGGAACCAGCCCTGCTGCCCCTGGGGTTCCCCAGGGGTCGCCTGTGCCAGGAAAGGTTAATTCAGATTTAACTCTAATGCGCTTTATCTAACCAATTTTAAAGCCTTGGGTAGACAGACTAATTGGGAATTAAGGGGCTTTGATGAGCACTGCTCTCCCAGCAGAACCAATGTGGAGTTGCACCCAGTTCATGCCAGACAAATTCAGCTTCCAGGTGGGATGGAGAGGCACAGGGAAATGGAAAATTGCACAAGGGAATATCAGAACCCAAAGAGTTTTCCCCAGAAAAGGAGGTGCAGGGACAAGAACAATAACAGGGAGCAGGGAGAGGGGGAAAAAAAGAGAAGCAAAACCCAACTCTGAAAGAGCCCTGGGGGAGAGCCACTCGCCCAGACTTGCTGTAATTACACTCCTACTGTGGGTACAAAGCTCCTGCCTTGGCCCTCTCATAAAGCTGCAAGAAGGGAGGTGAAAGAAATATTCTTTAAAAAAAAATATATATCCCGAAGGGTCAAAACAACCTTTTAACTTGTCAACTAACAAGTTCAAACAGGACTGCAAGTGCTGCTTTCCATAGCTCCCAGGGAGACACATCCAGAGCAGCTGAGCTCAGGTCCTCAAACCCTTCCAGCTTTTCTGAGAGCCAGAAAAACCAAGGTGAAGGTGCTGGAAATGGGCACCAGTGGTCCAGCACTGTGGTGGTGTTCACAGGGGTTTCAGGACGAGGGAAGAGATGAGGATCTGGCTCCGTGTTTCAGAAGGCTTGATTTATTATTTTATGATATATATTATAATAAAACTATACTAAAAGAATAGAAGAAAAGGTTTCATCAGAAGGCTGGCTAAGAATAGAACAGGAAAGAATGATTACAAAGGTTTGTGGCTCGGACTCTCTGTCCAAACCAGCTGGCTGTGATTGGCCATTAATTAGAAACAACCACATGAAACCAATCCCAGATGCACCTGTTGCATTCCACAGCAGCAGATAATCAATGTTTACATTTTGTTCCTGAGGCTTCTCAGGAAGAAAAAATCCTAAGGAAAGGATTTTTAATGAAAAGATGTGTGTGACACAGCACAAGAACCATGAGCTGCAGCCCAGCTCCATCACCCCACATCCTTCCCTGCTGCCTTCCAGCACACGAGTTTCCACATCCTTCCCTGTAATTAAACCCTTCCCTGCCAGCACAGATCCATGGCCCACTCCCTCTTCCCTTTTCCCTCTTCCCTTTGCAAATGGCTCAGCCAAAGCGAATCCCCAAGAAAAAACATTATTTTATTTTATTTTAGAGCCCTGCTCCATGCAAACCCAGGGCTGGCACAGCTTTAGCCTGAGCTTGTCTGGGCATTGCCCAGCAGCCAAAGCACAGATGGAGCTCCCACGAGCCAGGCAGGGAAGGAAAAGCCAAGGGACCCCACAAGTTCTGCCCTCACTTGTTGTTTTGCAGGGAAATTTAAGTCTGCTTTGATATAACTTTCTCCTCCTGAGGCTGCTCAGCCCATACAGAGCCTGCAAGTAACCAGGGAGGAAACAAAAGGAGCATCCACAAAGCTTCTGGCGCTTATTTCAGTAAATCCAAACCTTCCTCAGCTCCCCTTGGCTGCCTGTGCCAGGTCTGGACACCATCCATGTCACCCCAGTGTGAAAACAGGGGCACAAAACTTCCAAAAAACTCACTTTTATTGCTTGAAGTGCTGGCCTGGGGGATGTCCTGATGGGGTCCAGCACAGCTCAGGCTGGATGCTCCTCTTCCCTTGACTTTCAGGCTATTTTATGTGCCCAGTGCACTCCTTCCCAGCCAGAATCCACCTGAGGAAGGACCAAAGGAGTTCTGGAGGTGCCCTGGTGGTGCTGAGCCCCTGCTCTGTCCCTGCAGCCCTTCAGAGCAGAGCTGTAAAAGCTGGGATTGGTTTCACAGGTCTGTCCCTGGTGCATCTCTGGGGGCACATGTGCAGCACAGCCCAGGACAAAGCTGATTTTCAGGTTCTGAAGCGATCAGAGGAATGCTCCGACGAGGACTTTCCTCCGCTTGGTCTCTGTGTTTTTCTTTTTTGGCTCCTTGCGCAATATTTACAAGGGGAAAAAAGGTGTCTGAAGCAGCAGCTTATAAACACAAGCATTTTTGTAAATCCTCCTCCCACTTCCAAGATTATATCAACAAAAGAAAAGAGGAGGCAGAGAAAAAAAAAACACCCAAAAACATAAATAGGAGTTTCACATTGACAGAGTCTCTTTGAAGAACTTTCAAAGAGCTCCAGTACCTGTTCTCCCATTTGATTTTGGCTTTTTTCAGAATATCTACAGCGTGTTCCTCCACGTACCAAAGGAATCCACCAGCCCAGGTCCCTTTTCTGAGCTGGAAGAGAAGAGCCCTGGCTCAGCAGCTCTGGACTGGCAGGGGTTTGGGCAGTCCAGGACAGCCAGAGGGAATTCCTGAATTCCAACACCACTGGAGTTTGTTGCTCTGGCCATTATTGATATTTGCCATTCCCAACTTGTGCCAACATCACAGCAGGAGATGGAGGCCAAGAAGAAGAAGAAGAAGAAGGAGAAAGGCTGGACACATCCAGTTCCCTCCATCTTGCCTCCTGAACCCCGATACCAAAAACCCTAAAATCCACTTTTCCACACCGTAATAACTTCATTATTATTCTACCTAAACTGTTGTGGCTTGCTGATCTCCATCTAAGGTTGGTAATAATCAAACCCGCAGGTGTTTTGGGCTCTGTGCCAGGGTCTCTGAGCCCCCTGGCAGGGGCTTGGGCAGTCCAGGACAGTCAGAGGGATGTTCTGGATCCTGGCACAGGGTGAGGAGGGAAGGGGAAAAGATCAGGACCCAGCAGTCCCAGGAAGCACTGCTGGACCAGGGTATTTCCATCACACACCACGCCAACCCATGAGAATCAAATTCCCACTTTACTCTTCCCATGCTGCCCAAATCTCTCTGCCTCAGTTTCCTCCCCTGCTCAGTGAACAGAGGATGCTGAAGAGCTTTTTAACACCACCAAGTATCTAATTCACTGAAGATGATTAAGTGCCTTAAAGATTTCTGAAGGAGCCGCTATAGGAAGGCATTAATTTAAATATCTAGTGGCACAGAACATAATGCCAGGCAGATTTCCTTCCATTCTTTTATAACAGCTTAATAATCCTCAAAATAGTTTCATTGTTAACACTCCTGTTGTGTATTTTATTAGGGCTTTTTAAACTGTAAAGTAAGGTAAACACTCCACATTTCTCTAACACCTACCAAAGAGCTTCTGAGAGAGAATCACTTAAATCTTCACAAACACCGCGTGGGGGGACCAGCCCTGAGCATCATGGAAAATCCTCTTTTCACCCAGGATGCTGGGAGGCTGAAGGGCAGCAGGAGGCTGCTTCTTCCCCCAGATTCCAGCAGTTTTTGCCTCCTTTCCTGTCCACAGAAGCAGCAGCACACAGGGTGCACCTTGCTGGCAGGGCAAGGACACAGCAAGTTATTTATCTTTTAAACCATGGAAAGCCTGGGGGTGTTAAAGCCTGTCCAGACCCACAGAAAGCACCGTGCCCATGTCCTCCCCTTGATGCCTGGCACTGCCAGGTGATGCTGGCACTGTTTGCCATCCTCTAAGCCCTGCTGCATCCTCTAGGGGAGCCCACAGCACTCGTTATCTCCATCCCAAAAATGCAAAATGGAGCCATGGAACATCCTGAGCTGGGAGGGATCCACAGAGATCACCCAGCCCAACCCCTGGCCCTGCTCAGCCCCAACAATCCCACCCTGGGCATCCCTGGCATGTGCCCAAACACCCCTGGAGCAGAGCTACACCAATGCTGTGGCTGCAGAGGATGGGAGGTGTTCAACTTGTAGATAAAGCTCAGCTGGAAATAGGAAAAAACGCCAACAAACAAACAGGTTTGGCTCTTTTGAGAGGTAAAAAAATAAGAAAAATGAAACAAAGTTTTCTAAGGTCTACAGTGAAAACCACCCTCCCCGTCCAAGAAAATACACAGAAAGGAAAATGCAGGATCAGCCAGAGTTGCTGATGGAGAGGCCCCAGGGTATAGTCAGTTATTGAAGTTTTGCAACATAAAGCCTAAATTATTTATTATTATTATATTTTTTTTTCCTAGAAAAAGAGAGGAACAAAGCATCTCCCTCCTCAAAAGTTAACAACTGTGCGACATCATCTCCACATTGTCTCCCTGTTTTATCACCACAGCACAGCGCTGAGCAGATTCCACCCCGGGGCAGGCACAAAACCACAGGGCCACGGTTTCTAATTATACCCTCTATTCTCAGGGAAATGGTTTATTTATTAGCTCTTTGAGCTTCCCTTTCATTCATCCTCAGCCCCAGTCCCGGCAGCGAGGGGCTCTCGACAAGAGGAAATTTATTAGGTTTTCTCCTTTTCTCCCTCTCCACCTTCCCTGCTCTCCCACCCAGGCTCTCCCTCCTCTCCCCACTCAGCCTCATCACTTTTAATTCAATAACTTGCAGTATAATTACTCCGTAATAACACCATTATCTTAACATTTGCTCAGCAGCTGTGATCCCCTTACAGCGAGGCGAGGAGGGAGAGGAGAGGGGATCCTCTGGGGACAGCGATGGAGAGAGGCCAAAAATCCAAAAATCCCCTCAACTGGATGAGCCAGGGAGGAAGGGGCAGTGCTGGGGGGCTGTGATATTTATACAAGATATATATTTATATAAGATATTTAAACAAACAAGCCCAGCCCCTCCATTCCAGTTCCTCTCCTCAGCATCTGAACCAAGCTCTGCAGTGATGGGGAAACCTCTCAAACCCACACTGAGCTCCCAAAAAACTCCTGGAGTCATAGAAACAGGCTGAAAATGGGTAGGCAAGAGGGAAAGAGCCACTGGGAGGACAGAATTGTGCTTTCTGCAGCAACAAAGAGCAGCATCTCCTGCAAAGCCACCTCTTTAAACACAAATATCAACCACCCATCCATTACCCCAGCCACCGCTGCCTGCAAAACTGGGTTTAATTTTTACTCCAGAAACCCTGCAGAAAATGGTTTTCACATCCCACAGCAGCACATCTGGTAAATAGGGTAAGAAATTCTTCTAAAGCCAGACACTAAAACTCCAATAACTTGTGCAGCAAATGAGGCAGAGAACAGCCCATTTAATACCAGCCAAGCCCAGCTCCCAGCCTGCCTAGAAAGGCAGAATTTCACCCACAAGCTTCACCCAGCCCTGACAGGGAGCTCAGGTGTTGGCACCTCCTGCCTCCCTCGCTGTGGTTTGATTCTCTGAGATATTTAAACAAACAAGCCCACTGCATATTTAGGCAGAAATGTTCCTACACGCACCATTGAAAAAGCAAGTTACTACAGCCCCTGCTGAAGGCAGCAGGAGTTTGAAGCCTACAAGGTGAGGTCAGGCTTGCAGAGATATCAGATCCCAAAATCACACTCGAAACTGAGCACAAATGCCAGCGCTGAGGGAGAATTCCCCCTCAGATGTGTCTGTTTCACACACAGAGGGGTAAACACCGTTTATTTTGATCGATTATCCATCGTGTGATGCGGAGCTGTAATTCCATCAAGCCATCAAAGCCGTTTGGCAATTATATAAATCACGGCGGGAACGTGCAGGGGTTTTGCCGTGTGAAACCCAAAATGGCATTTCCTCCCATTCTATTGCTGCACACTGGCTTGTTTTTTCAATAATGCACAAGCAGATTATTTTGCTTTTCAAATTTGTTTACATGCCTCTCATACCCCAATTCACTGGGTATGCCAAAGCCAGATCCCATCAGCATTAATCAGACATTTTACGCCGTCCTCCCCTCCACAGGAAATTTCCAAAGCAAGCTCAGAGAGAAACGCAGGCTGTGACGAAAATCACACCCCTGCCACCACAGCCCAGCCCCCTGGAAATGGCTGAAAATCAGCAAAACCCAGCCCTTGTGTCACTCATGTGGAAAAGGAGACTTCCCATTCGCAGGGATGCTACAGGGAGCTCTTGCCACAGCTCAGGTTTCATTATTTATAATATTATATAAACCCCGTGCTACTGCACAGATCTTGTGCACAGACATGATTATACGTGTGTGCATTATCATAATTAAATTCACAATAAAGGGAATCAGATGGTTTATGGTGCATTATCTAGAAACTGTCGCTGAGTTTTTACACCTATTTAGTTTGAGTTTAGTGGAAGTGACAGCCCCCAGCTCTGGGACACTCCCGATGGCAGCAGCTGCTCTGCAGGCTCAGATTCCTGAACATTCCCTCCTTATTCCTCTCCTGCAGGAGCTGGGCAGAGGAAAACCCTCACAGAGCTCCCTCAAGCCCATCCTCTCCAGCCCAGAACGTGAGCAATTCCCAAAATCTGGGCAAAAAGCAGCAAATGTGGAGCCCCACTGGTGTCAGTGGGCTCAGGCTCAGCTGCAAACACATGGAAGAGAAAAATCATTCAGGATTTGCAAGAGGTGATGGCAAAATTATCCCTACCTGTGATGGGAGCAGATTTCATTTGCTCCTCTGCTCTCCCAGCCCAGCAGAACTCCACTCAGCTCACTGGGATTATTTGCCTTTGGTGGTTTTCTTTCTTTAAAGATAAAAATAAATCCAAGCACTTGGCTTGAATTGTGGGCCCTAAATCAGTATCCATAATCTGACTTTTAGAGTTTTTGGGGGAGAAAAAAAAGGGAAAGGAAAAGCCATTCTGAGCTGTGGGCTGAAAAGCCACCCAAGATAAACTGGAAAAAAGCACTAAACATTGAGCCATTAAGTGAGAGAAGACTACAACTTTGATGTG